TGGGGCTCCCTTTGTAAATGACCTATCCCTTCTCTCTAGCTGCCTTTAACATTTTTTCTTACATTTCAACCTTAGAGAATCTGATGATTATATTTCTTGGGGATATCTTCCTCTATAGTATCTCATAGGATTTCTCTGCATTTTCTGAATTTGAATGTTGGCCTGTCTAGAGAGAGGTTGGGAAAGTTTGCATGAATGATATTCTGCAATGTGTTTTTCAAGTTGCTTCCTTTCTCCCTAGATCTTAGTGATTCATAGATTTTGGTCTCTACATAATCTCATGTTTCTCAGAGGTTTTGTTCTTTATGTATTTTCTGTTTGACTGAGTTATTTCAGAGAGCCAGTTTTTGAACTCAGATTCTTCCCTCAACTATTGTGCTTTTAATAGTTTGAGTTTGCATTGTAAAATTCTTGTAGTGTGTTTTTCAGCTCTTTGGATCAATTTGCTTCTGTTTTATAATGGTGATTTCATTCATCAGTTCCTCAGTCACTTTATGGTACTCATTAGATTCCTTAAATTGGGTGCTGACTTTCTTATAAATCTCAGTAGTCTTCATTCCCATCCAAATTCTGAATTCTATCTCTGGCATTTCAGCGATTTCAACCCAGTTAGGAACTCTTGCTGGGGAACTAGTGGTTGGAGGGATGCGGGCACTCTGGCTTTTTGAGCTGCCAGAACTTTTATGCTGATTCTTTCTCATTCATGTGGGCAGGTGTTTCTTTAACTGTGGTGTAATTTGAGTATAATCAGTAGGCTTCATTTTTGGATGTTTTCAGAGGGCTGAGGCTTTGTGCATGGCCTTTCTTTGTAACCAAGTTCCTGTCTCTGGTTTCACAGAGGAGTATACTACCAAAAGTGTTTTTGGTGTTGAAGTTTGTGTTGTGATCCAGTAGATGGTGCTTAAGTGAAATGGCCAGTAGGTAGGCACTTGCTCATCCATGTGGCTCCTGTGTATTTCTTCATAATTGCAGCATAAACAGGGCTCTGAGAGTATGAGCTCCTCTCCCACTTGAACACTGGCTGAAGATCTCAGTTTGGCTCTCCTGAGCTGCACCCTGTAACTCTGGGGTGAACTCAGGCTTTATGTGCCCTCCACAGCTTGGAGGCAGCAAGGCCAGGGACCTTACCAATGGCTGTGACAGAGGGCCTTTTAATTCTCTTTTAGGGCTCCACTCCAGAGAAATGAAGAGTTGCTTTCAATCAGTATAATCAGCCAAGGTTGGGGTGACTGCACTGAGGGTCCAAGCTGGGGGTGTTCTGCCCGATAACAAGCAGGGAGAGTGGGAAGGTCACAGAGGAGACAGACTGGCCTCTTCTCCTTATGGCAACTGCAGCTTCCTAGAAATGTGGTTAAAGCACTCAGGGTCTTTGCACCTTCCCCAGTCTGAGGGCAGCAAGGCCAGTACCACTCAGTAGTGGCCATGAGAGGGGTCCTTCAGTTGTCTCGGGGATCTCTGCCTCAGAAAAACACAGAGTCCCTGCCACTCAAAATGATCAGCCAGAGGATGAGACAGATGCATCACTGGCCTAAGCTAGGGGCCTTGCTTGATGAAGAATGGAGGTTCAGTAGCTTACAGGGAGGAGAGACTGAGCTCCTCCCTGTATGGTGGCTGCGGTATGCTGGAAGCACAGGTGAAGCCCTCAGACTGTTTCTTCCACATAACAAGGGTAGCAGGGGTAGAACCACTGCTGTGGAGGTGACAGAGGAGCTGTTTATTGCCTCTGGAAGCCCTTTCCAGGGAACCTCAGAGTCAGTACCAGTGGGTGTGCTCAGCTGTGAAGGGGCAGCTGATCTGTGGTCCAGAGCGAGAGGCCCTAACTCATGAAGAGGAGGGGGCCTGGGATCACAGAGAAGAGAGACTGGATTCCTCTCCTTATGGTTTGTGGTGTGCTGAAGGTGCCAGCATAGTGACTAGGCCCTTCTTTCCCTCCCCAGCCCCAGAGTGGTTAGGGCACTAACCACAGAGTGGTTACCACTGCAGCTGCAATGGCAGAGGGATTGTAGGTTTTCTCTGGGATTTCCTGCTGAGAGAACCGCAGAACCCCCTCCTACTGACATGTTCAGGTGGGGCCAAGGAAGTTGTGTTGGAGTCCCAAGTCACAAGGGCTGCCCAGTAAGGAGAAGCAGGATCAGAGAACTGTATGGAAAAAGGTCTGGCTGCTTTTTCCACAGGCCAGCCGCAATGTGCAGTCCCTTGTCACCACACACCCTCTGGAAGCCTGAAGGCAACAGGGGCGAGGGCTGCAAAACAGCAAAAATGGCGGCTTGCCTCTGTGGCACTCCCTCCCAGAAAACATGGAGTTGCTATGGGCCCGACAGATAGTTCTTATTATTTTCAGATATATTCCTCTGATGACTAATCTGGGTCGTTATCATGAAGGGAAGTTGCTTTTATTTGCATCTATTGAGGTGATCATTCAGGTTTTGCTTTTAATTCCTTTTATGTGGTGAATCACATTCATTGAATTTTGTATGTCAAACCAGCCTTGCATCCCAGGAATAAAGCCTACCTGATTGTGCCGTATGAACTTTCTGATGCGCTGCTGGATTCAGTTTGCTAGTATTTTGTTGAGGATTTTTGTGTCTATGTTCATCAGGGATACTGGCCTGTAGATTTCTGTTTTCATTGTGTCTATGCCAGATTTTAGTATTAGGCTTATTCTACTTGAATAAGCACCAGTATTACCTGGGAGCTAACTAGAAATTAGGAATTTCAGGCCCCACCTCAGACCTCCTATGTTGGAACCTGCATTTTCATGAGATCCCTAAGTAATTCAGGTGCACAGATATGATTGAAAAGCGCTAATATAGAAAAATGACTCTGAGATTCAGCAACTTGACAGAACTCATCTAGTAGTAAACCAGACAGCTGGAAGCACACTCAAATCAGAAGATGCTAAGGCCGGCATCTTGACCATCAGTACATTTGGTAAAAGGAGAGGTAAGATTACCTTGGGTAATCAAAGGCATCAAAAGGTAGGAGAAAGAAAAATATATTGTATGCCAAACACTGAAATATGGTATTGCATTTAACCTCAATAACAACCAATCTGGTGTTCATTTTCCTGCTTAGTCAGTTATTACTTTGCAACCATCACCAAACCACTTAACTCTAATTTGGCCCTTTTGTTTTTTATTCTCCAGAATAGAGACTAAAAATACCTATATTATAGGATCACAATGAGAATTAATGGACATAATGTCTGGGAAACACTTATCAGGGTACTTATCACATGACAGATAATTGATAGGAAATAGGATTTTAATAACTGTGACATCAGTCATGAGATCTTACTACTCAAAATGTCTCTCCAGAGCCAGCAGCACCAGTATTACCTGGGAGCTAACTAGAAATTAGGAATTTCAGGCCCCACCTCAGACCTCCTATGTTGGAACCTGCATTTTCATGAGATCCCTAAGTAATTCAGGTGCACAGATATGATTGAAAAGCGCTAATATAGAAAAATGACTCTGAGATTCAGCAACTTGACAGAACTCATCTAGTAGTAAACCAGACAGCTGGAAGCACACTCAAATCAGAAGATGCTAAGGCCGGCATCTTTCTCTTATACCTCTAAGGGTATCTGTGATTGGAGGTGTTCAGCCTTCTGGAATCCCATTGTGATGCTCCTCTGTAATCCAAGCTATAATTGAAAGGCTTTTTACAAACACGTTTTCATGTCTACCACAGTAGCGAGAACACCATGATTTTGTTTTATTTTTCACATTTTTAATTATTCAGCTGTTTTATTTGCCACCATTTAGGGAATTATTATAAAACTTATGTCTAAAATGCATCTGATTAATGCATATTTAGGCGACTAAGCAGATGCAGAATTAGTTGACTGCCATCATACAATTAAACACTGATGAGACATATATTTGCACAGAAATAATGATCCTGGCATTTATATAAATAATAACAGCTCTATTTCCCTAATCATCTAGGGGAAAAAAATGAGGAGAGGGTGACAGAATTCCCAAATATGTCTGGCTTACTAGGCAGATCATTTTCAAGTACAATTTTTTTCACATGAATAAAATCATGTTAATCAATAGTATCTATTATCAGATTAAAATGAAAGAAGTGTATTTGAGCAAAAAACAATGTGGATAATATTAGAAGCATGTTTCCAAGACATCTCATAATTTCCAGAGCTTCTTTGTACATCATGGAAGATGCATGCTTTTAATACACTCCTCTATGGTGCCATAGTTTGATTTTATACAAAATGTGTCCCGAGAGTCAAGCCTAAGTGAATAAAATATATTTTTCCCCACATTTTAGCATCTCTGAAATTTAAATCTGCCTTAACAATTAATGGTATATCAACACTGATTGGCAGCACTTTTTCTTCTTTTTTTGTAATCAGTAGAATCTTAGATTCAATTAGATAGGGGATTAGGATTCCCAGTAAAATGAAACCTAGTCCCCAAGGAATACACAGTCAGATAGTGGAAAATGAGTGGAACAGGAATGCCAGATCACGCAAAAAGAGGGGTAAATAAATAGAAGTTATGAGATTAAATAAGAAAAGATTTCATAGATTTCTATTTTCACAGAGCCAGGAAGAAAAATCAAGGAAGATGAGAAAATTTGTCAAAATAGCAAGAAAGAAGAATAGGGAGATACAGGGGGAAAAAAAGGAGAGAATGAAGCATCAAGATGGAATTACAGCCGATAAGCCCACTATAGTGATCATTATTTCCTAGGTGTAGTATCCTGTGGTAGACATTCAACTTGGGGCTCCTTTTTTCATTACTTACACTGGTCAGCAGTGATCCTAGAGGGTAGGATGAGGCAGTTGTTTTTGGCAAATTGTAGATGGGGTTTTCTCTTCTCTAGCCCGCACAAGTAGATCCACGCCCCTTCCTGTGCTCCTTCCCTCCCTCAAACTCTGTACATACTTCTCTTTCCACTGCCGGCTGCATTTCACCTAGTCCCAAACCACTAGGAGAGGTTTAAATGATTAATAACACTTCTGTTTGTTCTTTCAGGTGATATCAAGACTATCAAACAAATCCTCAGTCTCACAGGTATGACTTTAGCTAAAGAACAAAATATTTACCTGAAATCTGGAGGATTACCAATAAATATTTCTCTTCAGAATTTCATTTATTGTTTTTTACTTTCCCTTTTTGACTTCCCAATGAGAGAGATGGCAACTGACATGCTGGAGTTTGAGTACAGAGGAATATTGAGACTCATGTTTCTATGTAAACATTTTATAGTTATTGTTATAAAGCAGTTTGTTACCAAAACCTGCCAAAACTGAAGTCCTAATGTATTTCATCTGAGAAGTACTTTCAGCGCATTTAAAGTTAATAGTCAAATTTTTTCTTTTAAGTGTCCATAACGCTAAAAATATTGTTGAGAGATATTTTGGAACCATATTTTGTGATTCAATGAGCTCTTAAAACAGTTTAAACTTTTAAGTACCCTCTAATTTTAAGACAGACTCCCCAAAGAAACACTGATTATTAGCTAGACTTTTATTCCGAATAATCCTGTGACACAGAAGCACACAAATAGATCAAATTACATAATGCATGATGAAGACATTAAGAATTTACTGAAGATAGTGGAGAAGGTCAAGCAGGGTTTACTTTTTTTTTTTTTTTTTTTTTTTTTTGAGACAGAGTCTCCCTCTGTCACCCAGGCTAGAGTGCTGTGGTGCAATCTTGGCTCACTGCAACCTCCGCCTCCCAGGTTTAAGTGATTCTCCTGCCTCAGCCTCCCAAGTATCTGGGATTATAGGTGTGCACCACCATCCCTTGCTGGTTGTTTGTATTTTTAGTAGAGATGAGGTTTCACCGTGTTGGCCAGCCTGGTTTTGAATCCCTGACCTCAAGTGATCCACTCGCCTCACCCTCCCAAAGTGCTGGGATTACAGGCACGAGCCACCATGTCTGGCCCACTTTTAATATTACATTAAGAAACTTCTTAGAAGCTCTTACAGCATTTCAGTGCTTTCAATCAAGTTTCTCTCAGCACTGGTTGTCTTTTCTCTCTCACTTCTACAAAATTTTCCTCAACAAGAAAAATGGCATTATGTTCCATAAACGTCTTTATGTCTTAACTCTTCTCATCAGACAGCCTTTCCTTTCTACTGCACTGCTTTCACCCCAGACCTTTCTATATTCCCTTATGAAAAAAAAAATTAGTCTTTTTTTCTTGTATTTTCCAATTTGAATTCCTCTCCCATTCATAGTGCAGGGCTAAGGGCCCCACAGGGTCATAGGTTTTCCCTTATGCTGTGCTGAGGCTCAGGATCTGAGAAATAAAGAGACAAGACACAGAAGTACAAAGAAAGCACAGCTGGGCTCAGGGGAGCCATGCCACCTATAAGCGGAGACAGGCAAGGCCACGAATGTCCAGAAGCATCTCTATTTATTGGGTATAGGTTAGGGGGCAGGGTAGTGAATGAAGTCATCTTTAAGGATAGTGATAGGGTCGTGAGCAATAAAACAAGAGGTCGACCCCCATTAGATCACCTAGGCTAGGAGGTGGACAGTGTGCAGCAAGGGGTCTACCCCCATTAGGTCACTGAGGCAGGGAGGTGGGCCATGAGCAGTGAAGAGGGTGTAGTGTGCAATATCTCTATCTATGGGCATGCTACTTCTAAGAATATCTATAGGAGGATGCTTAAGTCACACAGCAGTGTCAGAGCTGTCAAGGTCTTCCACCACCTGCTGGCAGCTTCCAGTGAGTTCTATAGGATGCTTTTGAGCTAGCACAGTAACAAGAGCTAAAGTTCACAGTCACCAAGGTACGATTATCCAGCAGGGTTTTGAGCCCTTGGATGCTTGAGGGATTGCTGGTCTGAGGGCAGCATTCCACAAGAACTGGATGAAAGGTTCTACAACTCCTTTATCAGGAGGAGTGGCTCTTGCCCCAAGCCTGCCATACTGTGGGTATCTTTACAATACTGAATGCTGCCTCCTGGACCATGGATTCTTGACCTGGTATAACTATTTTTCCCTTAAATCATGCTGTGCACCACGTCTGCTCTATGAACTAATATATGATTATATAAAAGGAAATAACTGAGTAGTAACACCATAAACTAAGATATTCTTCAAGCCCTAATTCTATAAACTGATATATGATTATATATAAAGGATTACATTAAGGGAATAACTGAGTAATAACACTATGAACTGAGATGTTTTTCAGGCACTAATTGTGTCAGGATTCTGGTTAGCTTAGCTCTCCTTCCTTGGTGCCTATATGGGGGGTTACCCACACATAGAACTCTGAAGATGAAGATCCATCCCAAGAATACAACATCCTAAACTTTAAACAACAAAATCCTCCCATATAATTTAGGCTGAAGTTCATTTGTAATGTTAAAACTACCAGAATAACAGGTGTTATTTCCTTCTCATCGACAAGTCCAGAAATGGAAAATATATAAGCTCCAATGTGTCAATAAGGAGCCAAGATATATTATTTTTGCTTCATTATTCTCAAAATATGATTTACTTCTCCAAGATCTCCTCACTCTCTGAGGTGGCTGATGAACATACATTCATTTCATCCATATTTCAGACTAGAAACAAAAGAAATGTGCAAGACTAAGACAGAGGTTACAGTGTTTTTAGGAGCCTTTCTAAAAGTTTCTTAAAACCTGTTCACTTATATGCTACCATCTCATATGCTACCATCTTAGCTCATGGCCAAACCAAGTGGCAAGAGAAGCTGAGAAAGGTAATCTTTGTGTAGGGTGTGTTGCTGAGAATTCTGTTAACTAAGAAAGAAGTGGGGATATTGCATAAAAAGAGGGAGCCAGAACTCTTTGCAGCACTCGCCACAATATAAATGTTTTCATTTGCTTCGTGATCACCAGCATCGTGTAGGCAAGCATTTATTAAACTCTTTGCACGTTGCTAAATGCCTGATTTCCATTATCTGTTATCTAGTGTTTTCCTCACACTATTCTTAATTTACACATGAAGAAACCAATAATTTAATAATTATATTGTTTGACCAAGGTTACAGCTAGTAAGTCACAGGGCTTTTAGGACTGTATAACTGAAAGCTCATGCATTTCAACCACTACACTTTGTTCTGCTTCCCCATTAGTCAAGAGAGATTTGATGAAATCTAATCATTTGTGATTTTGAAGTGGCTATCCCAGCAAAGTATCATGAGTCAAATTCTAGACTTATTTAACTATGAGTATAAAAACCACAGTGCCTTCATGAAGGCATTTTCCAGGAAAAAAATGAAAAGATACATCAGTTGAGAAGAAAGAGATCTGTAGTTGAACTTGATGCCATTGTGTAACAGGTAAATGCAGCTACCTGTGGAAAGCAGCTGTTCCTATATAGATGGTCTGAAGAAAGTAACTGATACCCCTGCACAGAGGCTAATGTGAGGCCAGATATATAATAATATAATAAACTTAAGTCCTATCAACAATGGTGGCAGGTGAGATGATGGATTATTGGTTTAAGTGATGTCTGCTGCCTTGATTGTGAATATCTAAGTAACTTGTCCAAGACACCAAGTCTCCGTGACAAAATGGAAGCATAAAATTTCCACAAACTTGTAGAAGTACAAATACTTGATAGGTTATTAGTCAGAGAATTCAATTAGGGCCAATGGAGGCTTCTTGAAACAAAGGAATGATTAACTTGCCAATGCAAATGTAAACAGAATTCTAATTAGAGAATTCGCTCATTGTTTCTCATTTCTTCGATTAAGCTTGCCCTGTTGTGTCTTTAGCTGGGTAAACTAATTTTTCTGTCCTACAATGCTAGTATCCAAATGTTCCCCTGTACTTCCATGTAGGCCCAATTTTTGTTAAAAGCATGGAGTTTTAAATGCTGTGAAAAACAAACAAGAGTGACATCTTGACTATCCCAGTTAAAAAAAAAAAAGTATGGCTTCATCAGTAATTAAAATAACCATATGTAGTTGGAAAGATGAGTCCAAGAATGCCATTTCTTCAAGACATTTTGAGCCAATAAGATTGAAGTACAAAAACTTCGTAAGTAAACCATACATTTCACTCAGCACCTATGGCCTAAACTGAATGGGCTATTGCTTATAAGTCACCACGATTTTAGATCTGTTATTATACCTGTAATGTATACAGCAAAATCCATATATGCAAAAAAATAACACTATTCATTGAAGTCAATAATCATGACAGCCCAGAGTTTGAATAGTAATCTTAGGGATTGTCAGTTATTTGCCTTATTTTTCTTATAAATTATTGATGATCAGGTATAAGGGATTGAATTTTCAAAAAAGACAGAAGCACAGAAAGTGAGCAGAGAAGCCATGGCTGGGGCAGAGCAAGAAGTACACACTTTTACAGTGACTCTGTTGAGGGCTACTTGTTAGCCTTTGCCATGCTCACTGCCCCGGCCCTTCCATCATCACCTCAGTTGTCTTTTCCCACCCTCTTTCATTCCTATTCTTAGTCTACAAAGTTGAATGACCCCGGTCAAGAGTCCAGCAGTTATAGGATGAGTTTTGGCAAGAGTAGTTTCCTTCCTTTTCCAAGGTTCTTCAGAGGAAGCAGACCAGGTGGTTTGCTTCTTTTCTTGCTAGTGACTGGAAAGAACAAGAAGAGCAGGAAGCAGAGTAGCTGAGGATACTTCTGATCTTCTTCCACTCATGCGATCCAAAATAGGAAAGCTTTTTATTCTCAAGAATAACGCAATTTTGCTGATTAATCTCCATGTAAAGTTCCAGTAACGACCCTGTAATTTTAAATAACAAGGCCTAAGACCCTCCATTAAAATGGAAAATTATCTCTAAGAGCATGCCATCATATAGTATTACAAGTGACAGGCTGATTAAAATCTAGATGCAAACCTGGTATAATGCACTCTTCACATGGCTTCCCACAAACATAGTTTAAAAGACCAAGAGAAGGTCTGATCTTTTAAAATCAGAGGCTAAAATCAGTAAAGCATAGACGGTAAACCTGGAGAAGAGCAGGAGTAGGAAGACTTTTAACACCTGATAACAAAATCTGTGAAGACTTTGGTTTTAATGAAATGTAAGTCTCTGAGAGATTTGACTTTGTTTACATGAGACCTCCAACATTAATGATATACATTTTCTGCAGTCTTTGCAGTCTATACTAATTTATATTTTCCACTGATTTAGTCAGAGCCCAAGGGAAATGGCAGCATAAACAAGAGACTCCCATCCATTGTGGAAGATGAGGAAGAGGAGGAAGAGGGGGAGGAAGAGGAGACAGCCTCCCTCTCTCCCATCTGCACGAGGGGATCTTCACGCCACAAGAAGGTTGGAAGCAACAAAACCTACCTGGGCTTAAGCCTAAAGCAACTGGCCTCAGGAACGGTACCCTTTCACTCACCTATCAGAGTCTCCAGGTCAAATTCCCCCAAAACCAAGCAGGAAACTGACACCCCCAACCATAGTAAAACAAAACAGAAGAACTTGAAATTGCAACTTTCAACTTTAAATAGTGCTGGACCACCAGACCTCAGTCCAAGGTAAGAGTTCATATCATACAACTTTCTCAGGTGAAAGTGGCTGCCTTCTATACAGAGTAGTACCTGCCTTCAGCCTTCTGACCCTTTCTGCTACACAGATTCCTAGCCTGAAATCCTCAGCTTTTCTGAATTTTATGGGCAATTTTTTGAGTATATGTGCAAGTGTGTGTGCATGCAGGATGGGCAAAATAGCTTTAGTCATGTTCTCAAAAGGATCTACTAAATGTTCAGAAATTTTTCTCTAGTCCTTTTATTCATTTTGCACCACCTATTAAGCATATATTTCCAAATTGTGATTTTATAATTTATAATGAAAATAAAAGAAATGGAAAAAATTCCATCAATATTATCCCTTCAGTGCTTGATCTTACCAAAAGTTTTATGGAGCAACGAGTTGAAATTAGGAAGAAAATAAAATACAGATTTTTATTTTTCATACTGTTTTCACCTTATTATCAAGGATGCTAAAAGTTAGTTTTATTTCTGGTCTCTTCAACGAGTAACATAGCATGGTTCTGTTTTTAATTTCTTAAAAAATCACTTTCAAATCCGCTAAAGGTGATTGAAAGCATGAAAAATCCTGATCCCGAAGATGAGAAAGGGGTAGGCCATGGTGTAGAAAAGCAATAGCACTCATCAAAATCACATAACAGCCGAATAATAAAAAGCAATTTAAAATATTACTTTTATGTTTCATGTACTTTGCTGCATAATTTCACATTCACAATTGCAGTTCGTCTTCTCAGAACCCTATAAAGTAGTTTGTGTTATCTCTGCTATAAAGCTCTAAGAAGTGAAACTTAAAGGGTAAATATTTTGTCCAAGATCTCAGAGATATTAAGACTGGAAGCTAGATTCAAAGTTTGTTTTTCTACTTATAAAGCAGGTGATCTTTCTAGAATACCATATTTTGTTGTTTATTTGAATATACTTATTAAGATAAAATATTAATAGAAAGATTAATAAAATAGGTTTAGTGAAAAGTAGGTGCATAATAAATTTTCAAGAATTCAGTTGGAGATGGTAATTTGAAAACATTGCTTCACTCTTCTTCCTAAATTTATACTAAAATTAAACATAATAAATTATAAATAGGAAGAGACTGTATCAGAGCTGAGAAAGGCTTATTTACAATATGATCTTACGTTTATAAAAATATATGTTCTTTAATAGAGAAAAGAATATTTTTAGGACATACAGCAAAATATTGACAATAGATTACAGGTGATTTTTATTTTTTGGTTTTTTTTTTTTGTTACCTTTACATTTAAAATTTCTACAATAGACTTGTTTTATTTTTAAATTATGAGTAGGTTAGATACTATTTAACCATGGAAAGAAGGCTAAAGCACTGATTTAAATATAATTCTTTAACCCTCACATTTAGAGTTTTCTCTAAGTCTAGAGTGGAGGTGTAATCAAATTTATTTTCTGTGATGCTAAGGGTTAAAACCTAGATTTTAGTGATTTAACATGAATTTAGGTAAGAGGACTTGTATACATTAAAGTTTTGAATTTGAGACTAAGTAAAAGACTCTCTGTCTACAACATCCATGTTTGATAAAAATATAATGTGCTATAAAATTGTGAGCCACATAATTTTAAATTTTCAACAGCTACATTTTTGTGTGATAAAAGTGAAACTAATTTTAATAATACATTTTATTTGACCAAATATGTTCCAAATATTTTAAATTTGAATATAAAAATATTCAGTGAAATAATTTACACTGATTTTTAAACATATTCTTCAAAATCCAGTGTGTATTTTATTCTTACAGCATATCTCAATTTTCACAAACCACATTTCAGGTACTCAATAACAATGTTAGGCTAATGGTTACTATATTTAAAAGCACAGCTCTAGAGTATCTAGAATTTAACATAATATTTTAAGTCTTCTAAAAATACTAGAATCCATGAATATGAATGCACAACCAGCCAATTTCTTTTATTTTAAGTAGGATTGTTGATGGAATTGAAGATGGAAACAGCAGTGAAGAAAGTCAGACTTTTGATTTTGGCTCTGAACGAATCAGACCAGAGCCGAGAATTTCTCCTCCTCTTGGAGGTAAGATCTATATTTAGTCTTCTCCCAAGGTACAAATTTCTTATTAACTTGTAATGTTTGCCATGAGCATTTTTTTTTGTTTTTCTGTTCTTAGAATATACTCCATGTCATAGAACCTTACCAGTACCACTGAATAATTTGACATGAGCTTATGTCATTTCCAAATTAAGATGTCATTTGTGATCGTTTCTCTGTCCAGATTGGATGAGCTGCCATTTAGCAGCCAAGGTAATTGGTATGCCAGGAGACTCAAATTTCTGCTATTCATCAGAGGGTAGTCATGTTTTACTATTATAAATTTAGATTAATTCACAAAAACATTATCTAGAGGAAATTCTGTGTTGATTGTGCACTGAAGGAACAACATTGGTTATATTTAACCAATTTATTCAGTGTGAGGTTATATACTTGTGGTTTGCCAGAGGATAAAGAACTTCAGAAGGATATAAGCTTGTTGGAAATGATTGAGAACTATATAATGTGCTAACCTTTAGTCATGGTAAAATAATGTGAAGGTACCTCCCACCCTAGTCCAAATCCCTCTCTTTTCAATCTTGCGTTCATTGCTCAAAAGAGGGATTCTGTCAACATGACAAATAAAATGACACACTCTTAAAAAGATACACCTGATTTGATAAAAAGAGAATAGTGAACATATGTTGAATAGGCAGAGACAATCCAAAACAATGGTCAGTAAACTACGAAATGCAAGGCCAGCAATCTTTGCCCAACCTCCCTGTCCCTTCCCACCAAGTTCTAAGCCCCTTGTGTTAGAATGTCCTGATAATTAACAAATTCCTTTATGAACAAGTCCAAGCCCAAGACAGACATTTGAATGTACAGTTCTGGAGATGATTCATCTGAATCAGTAATTCTTTCTAGCATTCATCATCTTCTTGGGAAACTCAAGGGTGCTTGTGAAATTCCTTGATTGGGGGTAGGAAGTGAGGAGAATGCAAAAGGGTAAGGAGTACAGTCTTGATTTATTGATTTAATTGACATATATATGTTGATATTACTGTGCTTGGGCCAAGGAGCAAAGAAATCATAGTCATCATCAAACTGGTATATTTGCAATAAAAGCCTGTTGATGTTCCAATTGGATGTTTACCTTTTTGGTTCAACTAGAGACCATGCATAAAACCTCACCATTTCATCCACGTATTTCTCATCCTGCCACTCTCTTAGCTTCCTCCTCGTCCTTAGCCTATCACCTACCCCTATGCTTATCCATTCAAGCAACAAGTTTTCTAGAAGCAAGTTCCAAAATATCTCTTGGTTCTAAGACTTTCTCTCATTACTGCCAACATTATTTATCTAGCTACATCTGTCTCTTGCTTGCATTGCTACCAAAGTCTCTTCTTTGGCCTCACATTGTTTTCCATGCAAAATAAATTTCGTTAAGGCAAATTTATTTGTATTACTCTGTTCCTATGCTTAAAACCCTAATATGCCTTTCTATTGCCCTTAGTATGAAATTCAAACCTATTGCATAATTACTTTACGTAGGTTTTTTTTTGTAGAGATGGGATCTCCCTATGTTTCCCAGGCTAATCTTGATCTTTTGGTCTCAAAGCAATCCTCCTGTCTCAACCTCAAAAAATGCTGGAATTACAAGTGTGAGCCACCATGCCTGGCCTACTTTTTAAATGTTTATTTTTCCTGCTAAATTCTACCTTCATGAACATCAACTATATTTTCCTTATTGGTTTCTATCTCCTCTAAAACAGGGCTGGCCTATTGTATATGACCTGCAATCATCGTTGAATGAATGGATTATCTCTGCAAGATATCTCCGAAAAACAAGTTCTTATCACTCTGTTTAAGACTGTTTTGAATGACTTTTTTTCCCCCACAAGCAAATTTTCTCCTCATAATTGACCAGAATTAGGATGGTCATATCTGTCAAATCTTTTCCACTCCAACTCACCTGTACTTTTGTCCCTGACAGAAATAAATATATTTGAAAGAGTAGAGAAAAAGTAGAGAAGAACTAAAAAATGTGAGAAAATGCCCTTTAGAGTGACACAGGAAGAGACAGGCAACCTGCAATGGATATTAGTATCTGGTGTATATGCAGGAGGAAAATGTGCTTGTGGGCACAGGAATCAATGGCTAGAACAAAATGAGAGAAGAAAAATAATGTTCCTCTTCTGTGGCTTGAGCACTGAGTTTTTACACAATGGTCAAAGAAAAGAAAATGTGCCATCCTGGAACATGGTGGTGATTGTACTCAGGGAAATGGGAGATTTGCAATGGATACTCCAGTCACTATGGGTGCAATCACCACCATGATGTGGGCCCAGAGAGTATATCTGGTGCCATTCAGAGGAATATAAGAAGTTTGCCTGATCCCCAAAGACAGTACAATGCACAGACATCAGAAAAGGTTAAAAGTGGTAGCATGGGCTTTCTTCCATATTCTAATTGCCCCAATCCTCAAATATGAGGTTTATTCCTAAAAGATTTATTCTGTGTGTGTGTGTGTGTGTGTGTGTCACTTTTCAGATCCAGATACTGGAGCTGCTGTTCTCTTCATCAAAGCAGAGGAGACCAAGCAGCAGATAAACAAACTCAACAGTGAGGTATGGAGCTGGTTAAGCGGTAAGAGGAGATGTAAATCCTAGTTACTCACAGAAGCAGTGTAATGTAGTAGTTACAAGCATGCATTCTAGAATGAGACCACCATGGGTGGATCCCCACTCAGCCTCATGTGAGTTGTGTGACCTCTGACAAGTCACTTACCTTCTCTCAAGCTCCACTTCCCCATGTGTAAGAAGGGAAGAATAATAATGCCTGCCTAAATTAAATAGTCTAGGTAAATCATTTAGCATAAAGCAAGCAGTAAATAAATCATTATAATTAGTATCATAGATATATGCATATCTGGTTTAATTGGTACATTTTGAACTTTTCATGACCTTCCCTTTTTAATGAGCAAGATTACTAGTTCACAGAAGAATGCTGTTTCTCAGTGGAGTCAAACGGCCTGAACTCTGTTCTTTCTTTGACATGCATTTGCATGTGTCACCTTGGGTACTTTACCTCTCTCAATCTTACTATCTGTTCATAGAAAATAAGATAATTTTAACAGTTTTATTGAGATATATTTAATATCATAAAACATGTTCATTTCACGTATACAGTCCAGTGAGTTTTAGTAACTTTATTGAATCCATCATCTATAAGTCAGTTTCAGGATATATTTTATTCCCCCAGTAAGATCTCTCATACTCGTGTTACAGTTAATCTCTATTCTTATGTCCAGCCCTAGGCAACTACTTATCTACTTTCTATCTCTATAAATTTGTCTTTTCTGGGAATTTTATGGAAATAAATATAAAAATCAGATAGTTTCTTGGTTACTGTCTTAATTGGGGTCTCTCCCATTAAAAAAATAAAACAAATTCTGAGAAAACGTGGGTGTGAATAGTTTATTTGGAAGGTGATCCATGAAGTATAATTAAAGAATAGAGAAGTGAGGCAGAAAAGGAAGGAAAGCAAAACAGAAGGATGTATTAAACTTGTGACCAACTGGGGCTCAACCCCACTGGAGACCTCTGAGAGACTATGTAGGACAACTCAAAATTATTCAACCTAGGAGCAAGGAAAAGTGGAGTTGAGGCTCTTCAGGCAGGCCTGAAGAAAAAAAAAAAAAATCCTCAGGCAAGAATATGCAGCAAAACCTGCACCTGTCTTTGGTGACCTTCAGGGTAGACCTAGGGAAGGGCATGTGGGCAGGGACAGACACTGCAATAGAATCCTTGTCTAGGAATAAAGTCTTATTAATAGGCATTTTAATAATTTGATGACACCTTGGGAAAAATGTAATCAAGTGATGGTATTGATGAGATTTACGAAAAAATGAAGTTCATATAATCAGCTTCCTGTTGTCTATAATAAGGGAGGAGTGAGTAGTTTGTCATAAAATCTGCAGGTTTCTTTTAAATCTGTGTTTCTTCAGCTTCATGGAGATTTATGTTTTACTGCCACCTCCCTTTGCACCTGCCCTCTCTGGAGCTGAGATTGCTGCTAATAAGAAGTAAGAGAGCCAAAGGGCAGACTAACAAGGTAGAAAATCAAAACTAGATGGTGCACTAACTGGCTTGAAAATACTTCCATCACAAAGACTCAGCCATGTGCTGGATCACCCAAATAACCTCTGGTTAAAAAAACAAAAAAAAACAAATGCAACTCCCTGTTGGAGAACTGGATGTTAACCTTCTGTTGAACAGTTTTTCTCTTCAGATACTGCTCTTAGCGAAAACCACCATCAAAACTATTTGAATTATTTCCCATCACATTTGAGAAGAGCATTTAATAATTTTAAGAATGGACTGACCTATATCTTAGTTCAAATATTAGAATTATTGATTCTTCTGAGAAAAAAAAGTCTGTATCTTCACCTTTAGGAATGTAGATAATTTTTCCAAGTTAGGTCTGTAAATCCACAGACTACATTATTTCCCTTTGACAATGTGAACCAGGGGTTGATCCATTAACAAAAAAACAAACAAAAAAATTTGGAAAAAAAAATATCTTTCCAGTATGATCCTGTATTCGTGATTGCTTTTCTAGTGAGAAGACATACATCTTTTCATCTTGTCATACATTTAAATTTAAAGGGCAAAATAAAATATCAAGGTGCAATTATTCTTTCCCAAAGATTTGGGTTTTCCATATAGGAAAATAGCTGATTTAGTCACGGTTGAAGCCTAAGTAGAAAAATCTTATTCTTCACACATAATTTAATTTATACACAGTTTTGACTCTTAGGATAGTGCATTAAAACCCACTAAGACAGGCAGAATAAAAATACAAATGGACTTCAAACTGTAAAGTTATCCCTCTTCTAACCTATTTTCCTTTTCCTCATCTTTCCTGTAAAATGATAGTTTACATAGGAAAAAAAACTTATTAAAAGTCCAAGCCTAATTTTACCATTTGCCTATTTTCTACTACTAACATGTGTCATCATTCGATTGTTTTCTTCTTTGTCTTTGCTATTATTTGGTTAATAGCAAGTAAGAGAAGAATTGATAATAAGTGTGGGATATATTGCATGATAAAAACTCTACCACCAAAAGGGCAACCCCAAATATGTGTGAAGCATGCCATGCAGACTGTGGGGCATTGTGTGAGGTGTCAGAGCACTGGAGAATTTCTATTCTGGTATTTGTTCAAAGACTTAAGACATAAAGAAATTGTTCATCGGTGTGCAGATTTCATAATCATAATCCACAAGCTAAATACAGAACAAGTCTGAAAAGGAATAATATTGGCAATTACCTACATTCACAGAATGGTTAGGAGAGTTTAAAAGATGTGGAGCAGCTGCTAATATTAGAACACTTTGACAATGTTGCCATTGCTTTACAGCATAGTGTGAAATAGTGTAACTCTAAGGAAACTCTTTGAAAATTACAAAAACGTCACAATGGGGGCCATGGGCTGTGTAAGTCAAATGCTCCACTTCTGAAAAGGTTTGTAGGTAAAGGTTAGAGTGCATTCTCATTTTTGAAATCTGACTGACCCAGAAAGATACAGAGGCAAAGGTTACCAAGGGAGACTGTGTGCACAGGCACAGCAGGCATAAGGCATAAAACACACTATGGGAGAAAGAGAATTAGCATTGGAAAGGGACAAATATTTAGATTCCTATTCTGTGATTTCAACAAGGTGTTTACCTTCCCTAAGCTTAGATTTGTCCTCTATTAAATGCTAATAATAGAACCTGTAATAGAGGATTGTTGTGAGAAGTTAATATTATATGTAAAATGCGGAGCACAGTATCTTCGCTTAGTAAGTGGTCAATAAATGCTGATTTTGTCCTCACATAAGGTTATGCTTTAATTCAATGAAAGTTGACTCTTATATAAGCATCCTCCTTCTGCCTAACGGTTCCCAGTAGAGTAATAAGTGAGAGAGGATCAATGTTTATGGAATAAAATGAAAACGAATGGACCTAAGAAAAACATATTTGGTTACAAAAATCATTACTTTCACCTAAAAGACTTTCCTTTTGCTACAAAGATACTCAATATGATATCAGAATAGAAAATGAAATGGCAGATTAATGATATTTCAAAGCATCTTATCTTAACTGGTTTGATTGTAATTGTGCCACTGTATTATTTTTTTGAAAAAAATACTTATTTTTTTAAGACTTATGAATTGAGTAGAAAATAGATGCATATACCAGTTTACCAATGCTTAACAATTACCTGATATTACAATAAACATAAAATTGGCAAAATGATAATAAAAACTAGGCAGAAAATAACCTGCCAAGCTTAACAGAAAGCATAGCCATATCTGCATTTATGAAATGGGAGAATACAGCTGGCTTGTTAATTCATCCTTACTCATCCAAGCGTGCTTAGGTTTGAAAACTCTACTTGCTGTATTTTATCATTTTATTTTGTGTGTAGGTAAAGGGGCCAGAGTTAATATTAGGTGATTTAAATTCATCTTGAATTTTAAAAATACTAAGAAGAATAAAATGTGTAATATACCTAAACAAAAAAAAAATGAGCATTGTAAAAATATAACAACTTGTATTAATTGATTTTTGAGGCTGAAAGGTCCCATGATCTAAAGCTGGCAAACTGGAAAACCAGGAGATATGATGGTGTAGTTCCATTTTGATTCTGAAGTCCTAAAAACCAGGAGAGCCAGTGGTGTCAGTTCCATTTCAAAAGCCAAAAGGCTTAGGACTCAAAAAGAGCTGATTTTTGCTTTTAGTTGAAGTCCAAAGCCAGGGAAAGACCAAAGGTTCAGCTCAAACAGGCAGGAGGAGTTCCTGTTTACCTAGACTTTTTGTTCTATTCAGACCTTCAACTGATTAGATGAGGGCACACACTAGGGAGGGCAGTCTGCTGTATTAAGTCTACTGATTCAAATGCAAATCTCATTCAGAAACGCACTCAAAGACACACCCAGCATAACATACCAAACACCTAGGCACCCCATGACCCAGTCAAGCTGGCACATAAAATTTGCTAGCGCATCCAACAAATGTCTTCTGTTTGTCAGTCCAGTGGCTTTCTTTACAGTTTAAGTCATTGGCCTATTTCAATGTCTAAACTGCTTTGATGGGAGAAATTATTTTCCCCTTTAGTGATATAATAATTCTTTTTAGGCTCTGATTGGATCTAAAATTTTTTAAAAATTTTTCCATAGCAAAAGATGTCATGTTTTTCGAAGATAAATTAAACACTTTCTCAAACTCAAGAAAGAAAGTATTTTAGTTTTACCCTTTACAAGTTGATATAGTGTAAGTTATGCAAATGTGTGATGAGAACTAATGTTTGAGAGAGCTGAGTTCAATTCTTGATTGTCACTACTTTGCTGGGAATCTGAGAGATATGGGGTTCTTTGTTTCCTACAACACATTAGCAAATTGTTAACTTTAAGTGACATGAGAACCCCATTCAGATCAACTGGGACTCTAGCATCTTAAAGACCAAGCTCTTATTGAGTCCAAAGGCCCCTTCTTTTCCGGGTTGACTGTGCTTCCATTACATTTCATAACTGGATAATGGGTCAGTCATGTCCTTTAAAAATCGATATTACAGACATGTCC